CTGGCAGAAAAACAGACACACAGACCAACAGAGAATAACTGAGAACCCAGAAATAATAGAAACCCTCTTCAAATAAATGGTGCTGGGAAAATTGGAACGCCACATGCAAAAGAATGAAACTAGAGTGCTATTTGACACCTTACACTAAAATTAATTAAAAATGGCTCAAAGACCAAAATATAAGACCTGAAACAATAAAATACATAGACGAAAACGTAAACTTTTGGACCTTGGTATCAGAGAGGATTTTATGAATTTGACTACAAAGGCAAGGGAAGTAAAAGCAAAAATAAATGAATGGGACTATATCAAACTAAAAGTCTCCTGCACAGCAAAATAAATCACTGACAAAACAAAAAGTCAACCAACTGAATGGGAGAAGATATTTGCAAATAATACTTTCTATAAGGGGCTAACATCTAAAATATATAAAGAACTCATACAACTCAACAACAACAACAACAACTAAAATAAAGAATCCTATTAAAAAAATAGGCAGAGGACCTGAACACTTTTCCCAAGAAGACATACAAATGGCCAACAGACATATGAAAACATGCTCAACATCGCTAGTTGTTAGGGAAATGTACATCAAACCACAATGAGATACCATCTCACACCTGTTAGAATAGCTATAATCAACAGGACAAGTAATAACAGATGTTGGAGAGGATGCAGAGAAAAAGCAACCCTCATACACTGCTGGTGGGACTGTAAACTGGCACAGCCACTATGGAAAACAGTATGGAGGTTCCTCAAAAAACTAAGAATAGAATTCCCATATGACCCAGAAATCCCTCTTCTGGGTACCTACTTGGAAAATTTGAAAACATTTGTTTGTCAGGATATTTGCACCCCGATGTTCCTTGCAGCATTACTCACAGTGACCAAGACATGGAAACAACTGATGTGTCCGACGATAGATGACTAGATAAAGAAGCTGTGGTACATATATAATAATGGAATACTACTCGGGCAGGATGAAATACTGCCATTGTGACAACATAGATGGATCTTGAGATTACCATGCTAAGTGAAATAAATCAGATGGAAAATGACAAGAACCATACAATTTCACTCATATGTGGGATATAAAACAAAGCAACAAACAAAACAAACTCATAGACACAGAGAAGAGAAGGGTTACCAAAGGGAAGGGGCGTGGGGGGAGGACGAAGAGGGTAAAGGGAGTCAAATGTATGGTGACAAAAGGAGACTAGAATTTGGGTGGTGAGCACACAATGCAATATACAGATGATGTATTATAGAACTGTACACTTGAAACTTATCTGTTATTAACCAATGTCACCTCAATAAACAATTTAAAAAGAAATCATAAAAAAAAACTTATTTCTTTAATCTATTTAAAAATTCAAAGTACAGGATCACCAGTCGAGATGGTGTAGGTAGACACTGTGCTCGCCACCCCTCATTAAATAAAAATTACAACAAAACTACAGAAGCAGCATCACTGGGAGTCACCTGAGGTCTGGCGAAACAGAAGTCCTACAACTGGGGACACAGAGAAGAGGCCACCTCAAGAGAAGAAGCAGTAAAAACACGGAACGGCCAGGCCCCACAATTGTGTGTGGCGGTAGAGAATTGGGGGGTTATCTTGGCTGCAGAGGTCCCACCGGAGGAGTGAGGGGTCCTGGCTCCACACTGGGCTCCCTAGTCCAAGGTCCCAGTGCCAGGAAGAGAAGTCCCACAATCTTTGGCTGTGAAAACCAGCGGAGACCGTGGCTGAGTGAGGGGAGGGCTGTGGGAATCGCAGACTCTCTTCTTAAAGGGCCCATGTGTGGACTCACCGCTGAGGGACTCACTTGCTCTGAGCTCCAGCACTGGGGCAGCTGCTCGAGGAGCACCAGGGACACACGTGGAGGATCTGAGTTGTCTGGCTTCAGTGCGAGGGCTGGAGGGGCAGCTTGCTCTCGGACAGAAATGCTGGCAGAAGCCATTGTTCCTTGCTTGAGCCCTCCCCTCACCCAGAGTGCTGACGCAGGTGCCGCCATATCTGAGTCACCATCAACCTGGCTAACACAGGTTAATCCACTCAGGTGATTCCCTGACACTCCTCCTCTCCCAACTTGCAGGCCCACAAGAGCTGCCTCCAGTGTTTTGTTTTTGTTTTTGTTTTTTTTCATACAAATGGCTTATGCTGCAGACTTTCCTAAAATCCCTCAAAGGCTCACAAAACTCCAAGAAGCGGCATCTGGCCTTCGTGTGCCCCTTACCTCCTACTGAGCAGCCCCAAGTCCCGTACTCATGGCAGCCGGCCTCAGGTCCTGGCTTGGTCTCAGGTGGCAGCAATCTGCAGATTGCTCAGTGACTCACAGGTGGAAGTGCACAGGCTGCAGCTGAACTTAGCCTGCAGCTGGGCCCTTCCCAGGAGGTCCTTGGGCCAGCATGCCCAGTGGCCTGCTTCAACCAGAGCCAGAGCACCACCGAGGGCTGCATCTAAGAGCACCTGAAAGTCATGCTGGACGGGCACCAGAGCCCTGGCTCCATACAGTCGGCCCCTCACCATCCAATCCTCACAACCAATCAGCCCAAGGGTCCATACCTCCCATCGATGTGCAAATAGCAACCAAGGCTCAACTATAACAGGGGGGTACACATAACCCACACAAGGAACACACCTTGAGCACCTGGCTCAGGTGACCAAGGAAGACTGAACCACTGGCCCCACAGGACACCTACTACACAAAGAAATTTAGAAGCCTTACCTAATACATAGAAAAAAACCCACAGGGGTGCAGCCAAAATGAGGAGATAAAGACAAACATATTCCACATGAAAGAACAGAACAAAGCTTCAGAAAAAGAACTAAACAAAGTGGAGACAAGCAGTGTACCATGTGCAGAGTTCAAAACATTAGTTATAAGGATGCTCAGTGAATTTAAGGGAGAGTAGATGAACTCGGTGAGAACTTTAACAAAGAGATCAAAAACACAAAAATGGAAATAGAAATTATAAAAGGGAACCAGTCAGAAATGAATAATACAATAAATACAATAAAAGATATAGGGTGGCTGAATGGAGAAGAAAACAAGATCTTTACATATGCTGCCTACAAGAAACTCACTTCAGATCAAGAGACACAGACTCAACTAAAAGGACAGAAAAAGATATTTCATAAAAATGGAAACGAAAAAAAATCTGGGGTAACAATACTTATTTCAGACAAAATAGACTTTAAAACAGAGGCTATAACAAGAGACAAGGAAGGATGCAGTCACCCCACTTTTGGGTATTTATCCGATGAAACCCAAAATACTACTTTGAAGGGACATGTGAATCCATACTTTCATTGCAGCATTATTTACATTAGCCAAGATATGGAGGCAACCTGGTTGTCCATTAATGGTGGAATAGATAAAGAAGAGATGGTACACATATCCAACGGAATGTTACTCAGCCATAAAAAGAAAGAAGGGAAGAAAGGAAGAAAAAAAACAAAGAAATTTTGCCATTTGCAACAATCTGGATGGACCTAGAGGGTATTATGCTGAGTAGAGTAAGTCAGAGAAAGCCAAATACCATATGATTTCACTTACATGTGAAATCTGAAGAACAAAATAAACAAAACAGAAACAAACTGTTGGGGATGTGGGTGATAAAGGGGAAGGGATTAAGAAGTACGAATTAGTAGTTACAAAATAGTAACGTAGATATAACATATAGAATAGAACAGCAATCTCCAAGCTTTCTGGCACCAGGGACCAGTGCTCCTATGAGAATCTAATGCCTGATGATCTGAGGTGGAGCTGAGGAGGTGAGGCTGGCGCTGGGGAGCGGCTGCAAATACACACGAAGCTTTGCTCGCTCGCCAGCCGCTCACCTCCTACTGTGAGGCCTGGTTCCTAACAGGTACCGGTCCGTGGCCCAGGGGTTGAGGATCCCTGGCATAGAGAATATAGTTAGTAATATTGCAATAACTATGTACCGTATCAGATGGGTACTAGATTTATCGGGGTGATCATTTCATAAGTTATATAAATGTCTAATGACTATGTCGTACACCTGAAACTAATATAATATTGCATGCCAACTATAATCAAAAAACAAAAATATTTTTTAAAAATTTAAAGTACACTAGATTGACAGAGTTTAAGGTCGTAGTAGAAAGAAAGAATTTCAGGGTTCTAGTACTTTATGGCACCAACTTGGCTCCTGATCTTCTCTCACAAGCTCCAGGTTCCCTCTCCACCCAAAATCAGGCTGTGCTAGATGATGGCGCTCTCTATTTCTTTTCTCTAGTACAAATTCTCCTCTCCTATCCCTGCTCCATCCATCTGCAGCAGTAGGGAACTGGAGTACAGCACATGCAATCTTTCTTAAAATGCTAACAGGAAAACTAGCCAACCAAAATATTCTAAGCATCTTCAAAGACTGTTAAAACCTTTCAATCTACTATAAATCACTAAGCTTTATCAGTTAAAAGATACAAGTTTTGATAAAACTGGTAAACATGGTATATTAATCTGTGGTGACAACATTAGAAAAAATTGCTAGATCACTGAAAAATAAAAAATAAATTCTAAAAGAATATTAGAATAACCTAAAAAAAATTCCTTAAAATGCTGATAGCAAAAATACATTCATTGACTATATTCAAGGATTAGTCCTTGCATATAATTTAGAATAATTTAGTCATATGAAAAAACACAAATTATTTGACTATATAAGGGGTCCAAACTATAGCCTGTGAGTCAAAATTGGCAGCAGGCTGTTTCTGTATGAGGTAAGAATGGTTTTTAGTTTTTTAAAAGGTTGTCAAACAAACAATGTTATAAAGACCTTATGTAGTCTGTAATGTCTAAAGTATTTACTTATGTGGTCCCTTTCAGACATGTTTTTTGATAAATCAATACATTTGGGTAAAGGCTGTAAATTTACCGATCGTTCAATGGATTGGTTTTGCATGAATTGATTCTTGGGAAATTGGCCACTGGACAAATTGATCATTTGAGAAAGCTTTTCAAGAAAAAAAAATTTTTAAAAATATGGAACGCTTCATGAATTTGCACGTCATCCTTGAGCAGAGGCCATGCTAATCCTCTCTGTATTGTTCCAATTTTACTATATGTGCTGCCAAAGTGAAGACCCCTCCAATTTCTTAACGTCTCCTGAAACTGATCATGACTCCTCTCAAATGAAAGAAAGACTATGAATAAATAGACATCAAAATTTGAAAAAACACAAGCAGGTCAAAGACTTGTTTTCCCCTACTGACTAGAGAAGTCAATGGAAAACAGAATCCCACAGAGATGCCCAGTCTATTTGCACTTGGGAAGGATCTTGATGGACATGAAGTGGTTTGAGATTATAGTTTCTTGCTAACAAAGGGACAACGACCCTCATCTTTTTAAAACATTAGCATATGAATATGGAAACACTTTCTGAGTGACTGCTTCCAGAAATATTTTTTGGTTTAAATGATAATTTTCAGTCTCAAAAACTTTTCCTTTCTTTTCTTTTTTTCTTTCTTTGTTTCTTTTTTTTTTTTAAGGAAGGGTCGAAGTATATTTCATTCAGATATTCTGAATGGAAGGAGTGTGCTATTTGAATCTACCCGTCTTCTCCAGTAGAGTAATTTATACCATCGTCTATCCTATATTGAATGAAGGCCCTGGCAGTTTTTAGGTGCAAGTTTCAGCATAAAGAGTATGCGTTTTCTGAACCCACTGCTCCAGGGTCAAAAAGGATATAGCAGGGACAAGTTTGGGGTCTGTGCGTGTGTGTGTGTACATGTGCGTGTGTGTGCATGTGTGTAAGTGCGCACATGCACAAAGGTTGGGAGACAGGCAGAAAGTGAATTAAGATGGCTTGGGAAATACTTGGCTCTTCGCACTCCTCACTGCTCCCCGGATGAAGTGCAATGAGGATCAGTGCCAATGAGAAGATGACTTAAGGACTGCAAACCAAATGAGCCAATGACATCTTCCCTTTTTCCTGTTCAAACCATAGGAATAGATTCTTGTAGCTCTAAAATCATATTCTTTGCATGGGCTGAGATATATTTAAAATATAACTGATATATCTAAAGGCAATATATCTAAGCAGGTATATAATTGAACCTATATCATACAGAATAGTTCAGATGATTTCAGAATTAGCATGTGAAAATTTAAAACAAAATGTCAATCTTCAACTATTTAAAATGTGAGATCCCTTCAAAAATTACCTGGTAGGTAATTACTTTTATCACATAGCTAAGAAAACTCAATCTCTATCTTAGTTATGTGTTAACAAACTTGCTCTCAACCCCTACCAATACACAACTAAAAAGGATCAAAACTCACGTGGCTCCAGCCCTCATACATTTTGGTGTTTTACAGAGCATGGAGTCCAAATGGGAAAATCTCCACCAAAGGCTTACTCCATTCATTTCATAGAAAACACTCCTCTCTAAAGGGCCAGTTTGAACTTCTCCGATGTACTTTTCTGGTTACACTAGTTTTCCACAAACACATTAAAAGAGGAAAAACATCTAATGGCACTCAGTGCTATTTCCTCACCAGAATGGAAAAACAAGAAATGCATAATATTCATAAACACTAAGAAAGTCTGTACAAATCATCAATATGGCAAAAATCGTACTCTGATGTCCCCTGTACCTCGAAGGGCAAGTAACCTATGATAAGCAGTGCCCTGATCTCAAAGAATGAAAACAAAGCAGACAAACACCAAGTAAATAAAAATCCTATTGCTATGAAAATATAGTAGGTCATCAATAACGAAAAACATTTTTCTTCAAGGTTTTATAATCTCGAAAAGCATATTGCTATTATTGGCCTCTTCTGAACAATGCAGAAATATTAAGCAAACAAAAAAAATCACCTTTAGAATCTGATTAGTGTTCTGTGGTCTGCCTCTTTTTCAAAAGTACAGAAGGCGACATATAGTTTTGGTTGGTGAGTCACTGGAACATGCCTCGATTCTAGCCTGGATGCCAGCTGCTAACACTAAAGACATTCATAGGCAGAATGAATGTCAAGGTTCCACAGTTCCCCATCATATATTTGTGTAAAATTCATTCCAGGAGAAATTCATAAATCAGACAAGAAACTATACTAAGACCAGCAGTGTGTGGTAAGATATAAAGAGAGTTCACTCTGTTCCCACTAATAAGCCTTTTAAGCCAAGCCTTCCAACGGAAAACAAGGTGTCCTTTGGGGATGCATCTCCTGCTCCAAGAGACAGTCTCTGAAGGACTACACGGACAACTCAGATGTGTTTTGATAATTTATCTGGTACCATATGTACTTACATACTTCATTATTTTCATATTTAGCTTTATTATCAAATAGTTCTTCCAGCTTGAAACGATCTGAAAACTTTTTTATGAATTAAAGGTCATCGTGGTTGAGTCAAATTGATTCTCTTGCCATAGCGCTTCAAAGGAAAGAAATGTACACAACATTTTTACACCGCAAAACAGAGGAGGACCAGCTTCTTTTTAATGCAGCCAGTGGTTTCAGAGGGCTTGGCATGGGTACATATGTTCATGGTAAGGTTTTGCCAGACAGCCCATGTTTGATTTGGCACCTCCATCTCCCTCCTTTTAATCTACTCTCTCAATCATTTCTTAAAGGGAACATTCTATGTGTTTCTTCTGCAACTTTTATAGGACTAGATGGGGAAATAAAGCAACAGAAATCAATCAAGTCCCAGCTTATGTTAAAAGAAAAAAACTTTTCATAGTTTTTTGCTGCATCCTCAGTGTTGGCTGTATAAATATAAGATGACACTAAATTTGGCCTTATTTTCCTTTTTCATTTGGCAAATCAGCCTCCTTAGTTTCTAGTGGCAAGATGGACACTGGCTAATCCCACGCCTGTATCCTAGAAATCAGAAAGTGAGTTAATTGAATAAGATGAGCTACTCTGTCCTGACGAAGACACAAGCTGGATGTAATTTAGATACATCCCTCTTGGACCTTTGGATTCTCTAGAAGAGCTAAGTCCAACCCTGTGATCTCAAAGCTAAGTGGAGAGTGTCAATAGGAAAGTAGCAAGCAGGGACAGGGGAGCTCTTCCAACCCAGGCTCAGGAAGGACTTCTGGGAGGAGGCGGAATGAACTGGTTTCTGAATGGTGAGCAGGAATTGAGCATACAAAATATAGAGGGCCAGGACATTTTAGTCAGTGCAGAAATAGAAACAAAGGTACAGTAAAAGGGCTTAGACGCCATTTACATGGAATAGTGACTTCATTATGGTTTCTTGTTCACTTGTCCACCTCTGCACTCGGCAGGAAGTTTGATGAGGGCAGGCACACTGCTGGATATCGAGAGCACAGCCTCGTGGACTTTACAGTTTCATGGGGAACCCAGACAATGAACAAATAGCCCAAAGATAGCTATCCATTTACAAATTGCAAAAAGCATTATGAAGGAAAAGGGCAGGGTATCATAGAAAGAGAACCAAAAGGGAGAATGGTGAGCCAACCATGTGACAACACTAATGGAAGTTTTCAGATTGAGGACATAAGCATGTGCGACGGCTCTGTGTTGGAAGACAGCTTTGAGAATTCACAGAAGAAAAAAGGCCAGTGTGATTGGAATATGATAGATAAACAGAGAGTGAGGCACAAAGTGAGGTTTGAGAATAAGTAGGCATGAGAACATGTGTGCTTTACAGAGCATACAAAAAGATTTTGGATTTTATTCTAGGAACAAGGGGAAGCCACTGAAAGCTTCTGAACAAGAGAGACGAGATCTGTTTCAACAAATGGTTCTGGAACAATCGACATACATATGCCAAAAAACATGAACTTCAACCTAAACTTCACATTTTATAAAAAATATTAACTGAAAATGGATCACAGATACAAATGTAAACCTAGAACTATAAAAATTATAGGAAAAAAAAGGAGAAAACTGATATAACCTTCAGTTTGGCAATGAATTCTTAGACATGGCACCAAAAGCAAAATACATCAAAAAATGATAAAATTACCCTCCTTCACAATTAAATACTTTTGTTCTGCAAAAGACACTATTAAGAGAATGCAAAAAGAAGCTACAGACTGGAGAAAGTTCTCTGACAAAGGACTTGTATCCAGAATATACAGAGAATTCTGAAAACTCAATAATAAGAAAACAAACAACATAATTTAAAAAGTAGGCAAAATGTTTAAATATTCAAATGATGAAAAGATGTTTGACATTTTTAGTTATTAGGGGAATGCAAACTGCAACCATAATTCATTACTCTAATGAAACAAAATGAAAACTTATGTCCACCAAAAACTTGTACGCAGATGTTTATAAAGCAACTTTATTAATAATTGCCAAAACCCAACAATAACCCTGATGTCCCTCAACAGGTGAATGAATAAAGTGTGGTATATACATACAATGAAATGCGACTCAGCAATAAAAAGTACTGATGCATACAACAACTCGAATGAATCTCAAAGGAATCATGCTGAGGGAAAGAAGCTAATCTCTAAAGATTATATACTGCATGACTCTAATTATAGACATTCTCTAAAACACAACTATAGAGATGCATGATCAATCAGTGGTGGACAGTGGTGGGGCGATTCTAAAGGGACAGCACAAGGAAGTTTTTTGTGAGTTGATTAAACTGTTCTTTATTGTGACTACGGTCATGGTTACACAAATTTATGCATGTGTTAAAAACCACAAAACTGTACACCAAGAGAAAACAAATTAATTTTGCTGTATAAGTTAACAAGTAAATTGCTTAATAATTTAAAAATGGAAGATATTTGTCCACAAAAGACTTGTAAAGCAATGTTCATTGCAGCTTTATTTGTAGTAACCCAAAACTAGCAATAAATGTCCACTAAAAGGAAAATGCCTAACAAATTGTGGTATGTTCATGGAATGGAATACTTCTCGGCAACAAAAAAGAATGAACTACTGATACTATGACGTGATGAATCTCAGAGACATCACACTGAGTTTAAGAGGGCAGACTCAAGAGACTATATGTTATATAGTTCCATTTTTATGAAGTTATAGTAAAGGAAAATTTAATCTATAGTGAAAAAACATCAGAACAGAGGTTGCCTCTAGGTGAGGGATAAGAGGGAAGGGGCACAAAATGCTTTCTAGTGTGTTGAAAATATTATAT